TATTTGACCCTGCCAAGAGTGTGAAAAATACTGTATTTCTTTCAGCAGAAAAAAAAAAAAAAATTGTGTTTGTCCTCAAGCTCTGTCTTTGCATCGTTACCACTGAGTGTTAAAGAAATTCTTTCTCTTCCAGGACAGAAACAACATGAGCTGCTGCAAATGAACTACAAGATTCTGTCTATGCACAACATTCCCCTGAAAGGCCCAGAAAGACCAATCTCAAGCTTAAACCCTACTTTTGGCTCCGGGACTGCTGTCCCTTACTGACTAGTTCTAGCCTTTCAGCAATTTCAGTCTAGTACTGGTACCACAGGCAAACTTTAAACTTTGTAAATCTGGACCAAGTAGGCTACTCTGCAAGGGGAGTGTGATTTATAAGGGTGAAAGAGACTTTAAGGAGTCAGATGGCAAGGAGTTTTGGAGGAAGAAGATGAAAACCTTTTATCTAGGTGCAGAAAGACAGAGAAGTCAATGTAAGCAATGGATACAGTCCTTAACACTAATCCAAGGAATCTAAGACATTGTAGGAGATTGAAAAACTGTTGAACATGTCTTGCATTGCTTGAGTTATTTCTAGGTATTATTTCCCTCATCTAGTGGGAAAATTGTCTAATATCAGTCCAAATTAATTGAAATCCCTTGCCAACCACTTTTGAGAAATAGGACTGCCAACACCTAGGACTCCTTTTCAAAATAAGGATCTCTGCTAGGTATAGAATCCAGAATCATTTCCAGAAACACTGGGAAATGTACAGTGTCCTCTAAATCATATCTTCCATGTCCAGTCATCTGCTAGTCCAGTAGGTGGAAATAGATTTGCCTGTGACAGATAYGATGAACTACCAAACAGACAGTGTGGCCTTTCATTTTTTTTCTAAATGGAATCTGTGCAGAAAGTAGCCTATGTGGGATTAGCTTGAGATTGCCTTTTTCAACTTTTGAACCTGAAGACTTGGGAATCACAGCAAACACCACAGAGGGGCATCAGTGTCATGTTCTGAACATCTCACCTTTCACAACCAGCTGGAATTTGGCCTGGGCAGCAAGGGCTATCATATGTCTGCTCTCCCACTGGTACCATTGAGGTATTTTGTGCCACACCAGAGGGAACCAAGCAGCCTTACCCAACAAATGACTGTATTTCAAAAAGCTCTCTTAAGTAAGATTGTTTTGCCACCAGGATGCTGGGCACAAACCCACCAACCAAATGGTAGGTCTTAAAGTGCAATTCTGTCTGCAGCATGGCCTGTCACTCAAGTGAAATGCATGTTACTGATGATGTTTTATGGCTGTCCACAGCACTTCCATGAGTGAAGAAAAGGCATTAAATACCCCTTCTCATCACTCAGAGATGCACTCAGTGTTTCAAACCCCGTCAGGCTGCCTATCATATAAGCAGTGTTATTTGTATCATTTCACTACTAGATAAAGTTGTGAAATTGTTTGGAAAAAGTAATAAACTATTTGACAGAGTGACACTGTATGGTAGCTCACAGAGTCACACCATAGTTGAGGCTGGAAGGCACCCTTGGAGGTCATGTAGTCCTACCCCCCTGCCCCCTGCAGAGTCAGCTCAAGAAAATTGTTCACGGCCATGAATGGTCAGGTTTTAAATATCTCCAAGGATAGAGACTTCACAAATTCTCGAAATAGTCTGTGCTCACCCTCAAAAAAAAATCTTAGATTTAAATGAAATTTCCTGTGTTTCAGTTTGTGCCCATTGCACCTTGTCCTGTCACTGGGCACCACTGGGCACCAATCTCAAGCTTAAACCCTACCTTTGGCTCCGGGACTGATGTCCCTTACTGATTAGTTCTAGCCTTTCAGCAATTTCAGTCTAGTACTGGTACCATAGGCAAACTTTAAACTTTGTAAATCTGGACCAAGTAGGCTACTCTGCAAGGGGAGTGTCGTCCCCTCTTGACATCCTCTCTTCAGATATTTATATGTACTGATGAGATTCCCCCTCAGTTTTCTCTTTTCCAGGCTAAACTTGATGTGATTCCCCTTAGTTTTCTCTTTTCCAGGCTAAACTGTCCCAGCTCTCTCAGCTTTTACTTATAGGAGAGATGCTCCAGTCCTTTAATCCCTTGTGGCCTCACTGGACGTGCTCTAGTACCTGAGAAATTTTTCTTGTCCTGGGAAGCCCAGTCCTGGAGCCATCACTCCAGATGTGGCTTCACCAGGACTGAGTAGAATACTCCTTGTTTTGTTCTCTGCAAGTACTGAAAAAGAAATGAGTGGAAACAACATTCATCCAACATTCAGATCCGGATTCTGTGCTGAGTGGCCCAAAGCCATATTAGCTGTTGGTTAGAGATTGATGCAGTGACTGAGGACTTCATTCTAGTCTCTACTAGGAAAGCATTCAYACTGCCAGAATGACTGTCCCAAATTCTGCCTTTTGTAAACTCTTAGCAGAGAGGCTGAAATCAGAAGATTTCAAGAAAATAGGGATTTCTCTCCACCTAAATGCCAAAAGTGAAATACTCTGGCAGTAGAAAATGCCTTCAAAAAGCTGGTCAATACCCACCACACTACTTATTGTAGTTCTCTTGTAAGAAGAAGGAATGGCCCTAAGAGTATAAGCACTCCCTCACAACATGGTAGAAATCACAGCACAGGCTGCCCCTATGGTTTTGTGCTATGTAGAGGCAGTTCAAGCTCATATGCATTCATCCCTGCAAATTAGGAATGCTACAAAATGACAGAGGGAAGGGGCATTGCAGAGAGGAACAGTGCAAGACTCCTCCCAAATATTAAAGAAAATCATGTGTGAAGTGCCTATGGTTAGGTTATGTCAGCATTTGTTAAATACCAGCACAGATAAAGCAAACATTTCCTTGACCAGAATAAAAAGCAATTTTTCTCCACAGACAAAATTCAACATATCCTTTAAAACTGAATAAAAGGAGGGTGAGAATACAAATAGGGTAAGTATGACTCACAGGATAGCGTCTGAAAAAAAGCAGGCAGCAGAGGTCATGTACGACACTGTTACCTTCAAAGCCAAGATCTCTCTATTGCTTGTAATAATTTTAGCTCAACAGTTCAAAGCCACCACCRTGCAGGGACCTGAGACGTGGATCTACACAATTAATGTCTGACAAGCTCTCAAGAAAGGACCTTTGCCCAGGAGTTAATTCCTTGCATTATAAACAGCATGTTTCGAATATATTGTGTCATTAGGTATAATTAGCTGGCAAAGAGAAGCCACCCTGCATTACATCTCTGCCATCCTGCCCTGCCAAAGGCTGCAGGAAAACCCAACAATGCTCCTAAAAGCTATCGGATCCAATCACTTGCTGGCGTAACTCTTGACCAGCTACGTCTAAGATGTGTTTTCCTCCCAACCACTTTATTTCCCGTTCGTTATATTTAAAGCACTGCACAATAAACGGGTGATTTCCAGCGAATTGACTGGGTGCTTTCTTTGACAAATTAGCTATTGAGTTCAGGTTGACACCGTCGCAATTGCCTGCACACGGTCCCGGCCTCCGCAGAGGAGGCCGCGAAGGCCGCGGTGTTGGYGCGCCACCGTCCGCCCCATGCCCGCGTCCGTAGGTGCACAGGCTCCCGCAAACACATCCCGCTCCTTTCCCACAGCTCTTGGGCTGCCAGGAGGGTTGCATGGAGCTGTGATACCCTCTAACGGCACAACAACAAACTACATCTCTCTGCTGAGGTCGCCCACCTAAGTAACAGTAACAATGCTGACCGAAGAGATGGGTCTTGCAAGTGGGTACTCTCCACGGCAAACGCAACTTCCTAAATTAAGCTGGTATTTATCAAGTGCTCTGTTTTGCTGAACATGGCACTTTTTCATTTAGATTCTTTAAGCTAAAGTCAACATGTGGTCTAGCGTTTTGTTCCTGTTTTGTTTCCCAGAGACTTAAATAATTTCGCTCATTGACTTTGCTAAATGAACCTGGAGCATATGGCTTTGAGGAGGAGATCTAACAAGTTCTTTAACTTAATTTCTTTAAATTAATGTGAGGTTCTACTGCGTGGTAAATTGGAGCAAGCAGTTACAGACATGAAAGTCTCACTAGTTCATACGAAAATTCTAGGCCAACATTTCTAGGGTTTGCTGCTGCAAAATTATTTAAAGACTGTATATTTTTACAGCATCACCTATAAAGAGATATAAAAAGTTCATACTAGACAGCTAAAAATCTGTTTTAAACATTCTTAGGCAAGGGCATTACCATAAGAAACTACTGTCATTTTGCACTACTTTGCTCAGATATTTTTAAACCTGCAGAAAGCTATTCTGATAGCAACATTCATTCACAACTTTGTATTTATTGAAGTCACGAAGGTGCAACGAGGAACAATATATGTCATTGGCTCTGCATTTAAAATCATAAATCATTGCTTGAAGATCTGAAAATAGCTAGGCACCACAGAAAATGAATAAATGAAAATTGAAATCCATAAGGACCCATTTCCAATTCAGACCATAGGGATCATTATGAACTGGGTACCTAGGTAGCAACATCCTCCATGGCAATGAGCTACAGAATCTATACTGATCTCAGTGGAGGGATTCATTTCTTAAAGATATTTTTTTAAGGGATATAAGAAAAAGACAAGTGCCTGCTTGATCCATAGCGTTGCTTGAAAGCCAGACATTCTCATTAGATCTGTTAATTTAATATCTGAGTTTGGAGCATTATTCCAAAGGACGCTCACAGTGGTATATATTTAAATTGTATTTATCATATGGAGTTCATGCATGTTACAAAATGCTGTGTGCCTGAAGGAATCCAGCAGAACTATGCGTTGGCAACGCTCATCTTGGCTCTTTGGCATCGCTCAAAAGGCACCGGGTGTTTTGTGCCTGCATGCGGTATAGGGACTCGCAGCAAGCGCAATGCCCTCCCTATACAGAGGCACAGGAGCGAGGTGCCCCTTGGGACGGGATAACACACACATCCACCGGGAATCCTCCACACCGCTGCGCCTCTCCTGAGAATTGCCATTTGGGAACCGCAGTGAGGAACAAGTGGAAAGGGAGAGTTGGCATCGCCAGCACCGGCCACCACCTCGACATTCAAGAGTTACAGTGGCATACAATGGGTCCGTCTGCTATAGAATGAGGGGTATATATATATGTGTGTATATATATTTATCTATGGGTGCGCGCAGCTAGCGGAGCCAGTAGCAGGGTGCTGTCCTCCCGGCCGGGGGTCAGCGGCCCCCGGGCAGAGGCTGCGGCTCCGGCGCCTCCCCCGCGGAGGCTGCGCGCCCGCGGAGGCGGCCGCGGGAGCGGGGCAGAGCGCGGCAGAACTTGGCGGCTCCGCGGCGGGGAGCGCGGCCGGGA